AGTCATTGATGTTAGTGGAATTAATGTTCAGTGATAATAACACTTTGCTGTTGAGGAAGAAGAGGAAGAACATGTCCTCATCAAATTCTCCGTGCGCAGCATGCAAATGCCTCCGGCGGAAATGCACTCAAGAGTGTGTATTTGCACCCTATTTTCCGCCAGACCAACCCCAGAAATTTATCAATGTCCACAGGGTCTTTGGAGCAAGCAATGTTGCCAAGCTTCTCAATGAACTTGGCACTGGTCAGCGAGAAGACGCAGTTAATTCGCTTGCCTATGAGGCTGAGTACAGACTCCGAGATCCCGTCTATGGCTGTGTAGGCCTAATCTCCATCCTCCAACAGAAGCTGAAGCAAGTCCAACATGATTTAAACAATGCAAAGAAGGAGTTAGCTACCTATATCGGGCCCTCCGCCATGTTGCCACTTTTTCAGCACCCGGGTTTCATGCAACAGCATCCTAATAACCCCTCGGCATCTACAGTGATGCCTTATGCTATGCAGCCGATGATTGGGTTGCCAACAGGTGTGGCGGCTCCGCATGGTGGTCCATTGATTATCCGCGATGCTCAGCAGCAGCAGCAGCAGCAACAGCAACAGCAAATGTACGAGGCACAGCAATATGCAGCTGCAGTTGCAGCCAGGGATCAGGAGATGTATAGAGCATATGAGCAGCAGCAACAGCAGCAGCCACCACCGCAGGAGCTTATGAGGTTTAACAGTGGGTTTGAAGGGGCTGGACCGGCAGCTGCTACGGCCTTCAATACCATGAGTTGTGGTGCTGCAATGTCCCCATCCTTGGCTTTGGGCTCATATGAAGCCGTCCCTTATCATCAGATTTCTCAACAGCAGCAGCAGCAGCAGCAGCTGCCTCCGGAGCATTCCCATTCCCACCATCACCACCATAATCAGTTTCAGCTTCAGTCTCAACTGATGCTTCAACAGCAGCTGCCACTGCAGCAGTCTCATCACCAGCCTCAAGCTGCCCAGCAGCAACATCCACAGAGAGCCAAGAGTGAGGAGGGCAGGAGCGTTGGTCCTTCCTGTTGATATGCTTGTTCCCAAAAGTCTCAAAATGCTTTCTCTAGCTTAGTTCTTGCACCAAATTTTCTTCCTGGTAGGTAACTACCTTCTCCTACTTTCCTAGATTGCTAGCATCTCTTTGTTTCGCTCTTATCTAATCATGCGATGCTTTAGGAATTAGGCTGTCTGCTGCTTGCACTTACATAACTAACTAGAGTTTCTTGAAACGAAAGAAGAATTTACTGACTGTGCATGCAGTAGGGATTCGTTTGGAGAATTATTGGCGTTTTCATAGCCATGATTAGAAGTCACATTCATTAATAATATCCCTTGCCTTGCCTGTTATTTACTGTCTGTTGTCATTTATGTTCCTCATTTTCTCCTTTGGCTGATATCTAATTTTGGAGTCACCCCCAAGACTTTAAATCAGTGGAGTTATTAATTCTCTCTTTCTATTCTCGGTAAAATCAACTTCTCCCATGACTTGCCAAAGTTTTTTTTTTTTTTATTGGTTTTTTTTTTTAACTTACACAAAAATAAATAAATATGTATATTTTTTCTTTTTTGAAGAAAGTATCATCCTCGTTTTCTCTAATTGATCTGAATGAACCGCAAAAGTTGATTGGATGCTTAGATCTCCATGACTTGTGTGGGCATACTTTCAATTTTTTTTTTTATTAATTAATTTTGGTTTGTGTTGACCATATCTAATGATCATCAGCTCAGGGAATTTGCGTGAAAGAACTTCTTACACTAACGTGCAAAATTGAAACGGTTGTGTATGATCAGCTTGCAGCACTCTAACGTTGAATATCAACAAACAAACAAAAAATAAAAGTGAACTTCTTCTTTCTTCCACTATAAGCACCTTCTACCTAACTCATAGTAATATACTTAAGCAGCTCGATCGATCTTTTAAGAGTACATGTTAAATATTCGCGGAGGGCCAAATAAGTAAATAAATAAAAAATCAGATGTGTTCCCTTTTTCAAAGCAAGCAATTTATTTGCCCCTTGCTTTTCTCCTTGATTATTTGATTTGTCAATTTCTTCTCGAATTGCATCAAAGTTTTCGAGCTCTAACTCTTTTTTTTTTTTTTTTTTGGGTGTCATTTTTACAGGTCATTTTTGCTGTAAACAATCGCACAAAGGAGAGAGAGAGTGCATGCGTGTGGAGGGTGGAAGAGAATCATATAAGAGCGAAAGTCGTAACTAACTTCTTCTTCTTCATTTTTTTTTTTTTTTTTTGTTATGGTTCTTCCTGTAAAATTTCACTTTTTTGGAAGCTTCGAGAAGATATTATTGGAGGCACATATTAAAAAAATGTAGGAGTTTCTTTCTTGTGAATTTTACAGAGAGTAAGTAGCGTAGAGTAGTATAACACTTTAATTTTTTTTGAGGCAATTTTTTGTTCATCCCGAGAAGGTTGTCGAGACGAGACTGGTCTTCTTCATGTGATGGAAATGGAGTTTTCTATTTTCCTCTTTTCTTGTTGCCCAAAGGTGGCTTTGTTTGTTGATGAATTTTTGAAGCATCTGTTCTATATGTTTACAAGTTTCTACGACAAACATCATCATCTCCTCGTCTTCAATATGGAGGATGGTCGATTCGATCAGAAATTTTTGAGGCTGTGTACGTAGTAATGGCTTTTGATGGTCCTGTGGAATTAATTAAATAAGATATGAAACCAGGAATACATATTGGGTGACCGTATAACTAGAAACCATGTGGTATAATAATTAGTCATATTCTTAATATTAATATGTAACAATATTCTAGAAAAATAGTAAGTTATATTTATTTTTCTAACAAAATTAATTATGTTTTTAATTGTGCAGGGGAGAGGAAAAAAAAAAGACTACTATTATTAAGGTATGACGAAGGGAATAGGGTCATTAATAGCGAAACCTATGAAGCTTAGGAGACTTCGACGCCCGTCTGCACGTGAACTCGTCTTCTCTAAGAAACCAGTAGTGGATTAAAGTTTCGATGTCACGCTCTCATTGGTGATGGTCTGACGAAGTAATCCTCCCTCGAAGTTTTAAGTTGACTTCCCCCTCTGCCCAGCACCCACCCCCAGAAAAACAGCTTCCTGCGTCTCTAAGTCTAAACACGGTGATTAAGGAGTCCCAAATCAAAACCTGTTACCTGAGTCAGAATTCCCTTTTTTTTGTTTTTCTTTTATTAAAAATGTATTATTCTGATCAGCATATATATATATACACTAGCGTTGACTTGGGTACTTAAAAAATTGATGGTATTGGGATACGGAGGAGTAATGAACGAGGCAATTGGTGAAAGACGAGTAATCTATTTCTTAAACTTGGGTGTAGCAAGCAAAGTGCCGAAAGCTGTTTCTTGAGTGCACTTTTTAAGTTTAAACTCTTTGCTACATTAAGTTAAGAGGCTGAGGCTGACAGTTAAGAGTCGTATTAAACAGTAAGATAATATAATGCCTCATCTCTCAATTTCCGCTGCAAAACGCACTCTACCGCTGTTGTATGAGTGCCTTTCCGATTATTCTCCTGGATAGAGTAGAGTATTATTCACATTCTACTACCGTCTAAGTTTTTCACATTCTCTTCTTTCTTTTTTTTTCTTTTCTCTTCTTTAAATGAATAACAATAAGGTTAATCATTTTGAAATTTGAGATTCTGGTAGGTGGGTCTTGGATTGGATTCTTGTCCTAATTTGATAGGTGGATTGGATTCTTGCCCCAATTTGCTGCTGCCCAAATCAAAGTATCCGGTAATAGATCGCATTCCGTCGCAATCATTTTTTTCCTCTTTTTTGTTTGAATTACACCAGAGAATTAACTCAAAGATCGTACCACTACTGATACATCATTTTCTGAGCACCCAGATGTTTCTTGCCATTTAGGATGCGACACCAAGGAAACGCATGAAACGACGACAAAAATGTAAAAAAAAAAAAAAAACACATTTAGTAATAATTTCAAAGACTTCAATGATCTTAGCGCTGTTCATTTCGATGAGGTATATATAGAGGAGTACGTTGCTCTTGTTTTTTTTTTCCCTCGTTCTTTTCAAAGAAAAGAATTACTGCTAGCATTTCGGTTATGGTTGGTTGACATTCACTCAATCAAAAAAAAAAAAAAAAAAGCCGTGTCCATACCTCATGCTACTTGATTGATTGGACCACGAGCATTACGGAGTCGAAGAAAATAGCCACCTTTCAAACGTCCGCTCGGACGGGATGGTTCTGGTTGCAAATGCTTCTTCCCTGTACGAAACCACCATAACTTTATATTGTCCACAGAAACAGAATAATGTGCTCGTCCATCCATAATAATAATAATATCAATCCCCCAGTTGTCACGTGATAATCTTACTTATCCCCATATTTTTACTATTAGAGAGATTTTTTTTTTTTAAAAAAAACCTCACTTTTATATTTTTTAAAATTTTTTCTTTTTGCAACTTAAAACATTATTATTATTGTCTTCAAAATGATGTGGGCGTAGTAGTACAAAAGATGGGTGAATGAGATTAAAAATTGGAAGTGAATATTAAAGTATCTTTGGCCCAGAAGCTCTTTCAAAGTCATAGGGGATTTCCTGACTGGAGTCAAGCCATGAGTTTACCTCCTTCCTAACGAGAAAGTAGTAGTGTTCTTTCTTGTGGGAATTAGAACGAGAGCTCATTAATCATTATCATTATTGCTGGAAAGGTTGTAATCTTCTCAAATCCAGGCCAGCTGAGCTCTGTAGCCCACGTTGTCACCCACCCTATACATCCTCTGACTTCTTGTTGTGGGTTATAGTTTTTGGGCCTATTATCAGCAGACCCATTCTACAATTGTTTCTTTTCATTTTTTTTTTTTTATTTTGAGCTGAAACCTATTCCCGAAAAAAAAAAAAAAACTGTGATTACAGAACCTTAATTATATTATCAGGGGGAGCAGCCTGAATACGTGAAACTATAGTAAACGTTTTTTTTAAAAAAAAAAAAAAAAGAAATTCAGAAGAACAAAGGCTTGTTTATTTCCATTACGGGAGGCTATCATTGATTGATTGATATGTCATCGTAACAGAATAAGATTTAGAAGATTCTGTATGAAAACTAAAAATGCTAAAAATTGCCGAAAAGTCCTATCTCTGAGATGAGACAAAATCTCAGCGACTTCACTACTGTAATTTTCAGTAAATTATTTGGTTCTCCTTTTTTTTTTTTTTTTTTTTTTTTTTTTTTCTATCTGCAAAATTCAGGGCCCTCGGCACGCAATTAATCTGTTGGCTTCTGATGACGATCCTTCCAACTGCAGCTTTCCGATCTCCGATCCTCTTCCTCTTCCATGCTTTCACCGCCAGTAACTGACGCCCCTTTAGCTGAGCCGCCGCCTGCTAAATGCAAAGGCCCTTCAGGAGAAGCAGACTGCTTGGCGCTTGGCTTTCGTAAATAACTGCGTTCTCCCCTTCTCAGCCACTCGTAATTTGGCGACGCACTTGTTGAGGAGCTTGGCATCAGCTTTCGGATATGAAGCCTGTATTTCTGCAAATTCGGACCAAGTTCCACGTCATTGCGTGGCATTCACCAAAACAAAGCCAGATAGTTATAGGAAGCTTTGCATGCAGATTGAAAACTCACCTGCAAATGGCTTTTCACTTCATCATTGGTCAGGCCATCCACTTGCATGATTTCTCTTATGTGCTTTGGGGTGGCAGCTGCGAATTGGATGAACATATCAGGTAGATGGTTCTAAATTCACGACATGGTACAGCAATTTCCCGAATGTAGCAAATGCAGATTGGAACAGGGCAGGGAAGTTTTAGAGAAAGAAGGCATTTTGCGCTCGCAAATCCTCAGATCAATGCCTCCTTGTTCATGAATACAAATTTATTTGCTATTCTATTCCAAACTCGATTCAAAAAAGTCAATTGGAAACCGATGGAGGACGAGGGAAAAGAAAAAGATACCCAAAAAAAAAAAAAACCAATGTCGTTACTCAGACACCCGTTCAGGATAAATTATGTCAGATTCTCGGACACCTGAACTGAAAAATTCGCAAGCCCTCGTAGACCCACAAAAGATTCAGATAGTATTTACTCCCGTTGGAATGAAAGTTGAATAGGAGTAACTTAATTCCAGAAGAGACAGCAGGAACAAAAACAAAAATCCCAGAAGGCAGTGAAATTTTTGGATACCTTGTGCACCTCCAAGTTCGAAGAGGGCTTTAACAAAATTTTGATGCAAATCATGCGACCAACACCGCCTCTGTTTCTTGCCCTGCGTCGTCTGGGATGAACTACCACCCTCTGATAGCACAACAGTACCATCATCACTGGCAACACCAACATGTTTGCCTTTTGAATTCGTAAGATCATCTGAGCCCACCTCAGCCAGTGCTGGCATTGACAAAGACAGCCCATTTAGCGGGTAATCCTCCTCCTCCACCTCTGTCTTCGTCACCACAGCACCACCTGGCTTCTTGAAAGGCAAAAAGGCCCCTCCCAACTTCTTGTTGAAACTCCGTGCCTGATCAGATAGGCTCCACCTTGCTGCTCCATCACTCCGCTCTTGATGCCTCTGGAATCAGCAAAATAAATATAAAACAAGTGAAGAAGAATCAATAAGGTTACCTAAAATGTTCAGGGAAAAAAAATGACAAAAAACTTACGGCTTGATGGAGAAAAAAGGCGTCTTGAATTTTGACAGTATCAAAACCGTTTTCATATTGGATGGGAGTGGTCCAAAGCTGAGCAGAGCTCATCCAAGTCTTCTTGTCAGTCCAATCAGCTGACTTTCTTTTGGGTCTTTCATCTTCACGATCTGAATTACCTTTTAGAGGCATGAATTCTTCCATCACAACTGTCTCCACCTCTCTCTTCTTCAACTTTACCACCTCCTCCTTCAATTTCCAAATAGCTGTAGACCAGATGAAATTGAAAAAATGTATACAGTAAAGTTAACACCATATCCCTTTTTTCTTTTCAAGCCGAAAAAAGGGGAAAAAAAGGAGTTGAGAAAAAACGGGGCATACCATCGTTCAAGAGGAGCATGCAGAGGGGGAGTTCACGTCTGAAACCATCGATCTTTTTCATTTCTTGCTCCAAAACACAGACATAGTCGTTTAGTTTGGACAACTTCAGGGGAATATCGGGGATCATTGAAACTTCTGCTAGCAAATCTGAAATGGACTTTGGAACAAAACCACTTGAGTTTAAATCCAGCAGCCTGAATTCCTTTGAATCGAACTTCATTTTCCCACTCACGTAAAAGAAAAAAAAAAAATTCTCTAATGGGTTTCTTTTCTTCTAATCTCTAGATGAGTTCGGATGTTTTCTGTTGTGATTTCTATCTAACATTGTCAAGATAGAATATAGAACTAAAATGCATGGTGACAAGGAGGAGGATTGGGATTGAGTTAAATAGCACGGTTGGTCGGCTGAAATGGGAAAGAAAGGGTAAATATGGAAAGGGAATGATAAAGTCGGAAAATGTGCCTTTGGAACAAAAAGAAAAGATTCCCTGATTTTTCACATTCGGGGCGTCGCATATTTTGAGCGTCTCCGTGAAACTCAACTAAACTTAACCCTCAGCTGAACGCGATTAGTTTGGCTCAGTCAAATTTCACGTTTCAAAAAAAAAAAAGAAAAAGAAAAAGAAAAGAAAAGGTGGAATCATGTTGACTTTGTACAGATTTTCTATACATTTTTCTACCATTTCTTAGTGAGTGGGGGTAGGACTTTTTCTGATTATTATATAAAGGAGGAAATTTTGCCTCCTTAGGTCCCGTATGAATTAATGTTTTTTCAAATTTTTGTAAAAAAATATATTATAACAATTTAATATATATGAGCTGAAATGATAATTAGAAAATATGTTCATAGAAAGTGTAGAAATTTGTTGTTAGAAAATTACAATCTAAGCATAGTCTAAGATTCTTGGTTACCAGGGTAATTCAGTCTTTTTACCTTAAAAATCAGTCTTTTTATTAGGGGTGGCCGACTTTGTAGTTGATAAGTCATGGGACGATTGTCAAATTACAATCTAAGAATTGTCTAAGATTCTTGATGACCAGGGTAATTCAGTCTTTTTACCTAAAAAAAAATCAGTCTTTTTATTAGGGGTGGCTGACTTCATAGTTGATTGTCAAAGGTAACCAAGCCATGCAATTTGCTTTTTTTTTTTTTTTTTTTTTTTTTTGGATCTGCCAAGGCTGTGTGCTAGTGTGGATTTTGGAATTGTATTCGAGATCCATGAATATAATCAGCTTCTTTAGGATTTTGAGGGTTTTTTTTTTGGTAAAAGAAATTTTGTACATTTGTTTTTCCCACTCGAACAAACCCAAAAGAAAATCGTTGTTCATCAATGTTTGAACAAACGACACCAAAAATGCCAATTGATGTTGAATAGCGCATTTGGTTAGCAAATATAAGTAGAATAACCATTAATTACTCTATATTGCTAATCGTGGTTCAGCTTGTAAATTTACATTTATATGGAGGACAGATAAGTAATGCGTATGAATAAATCTTCAATAATCTCTAGTCAGAGTGGCTCTTCTTCAGAAGTTGTGGTCAACTTCTTCAAATATTTAGCCATAAATATGAATCGAAGGGGACATTAACAACGCGGACCCGACGGTGACTGCTTTTATAATCAAAATTATGAACAAAACATTAATAAAGTGACTGGTGAAAAAGATTTATTTACCTGTTCGGCTCTGTGATTTGTTGAATATTCAATGAATCAAAAATTCTTTTTTCTTTTCCACAATGGTAAGTAAATATCGGCCATTTTAATGCGCTAAAATTGAAAAGATCGCGTTTATAAGCGGAAAATGATATCCGCACGCTCTTGCATAACATGAATTTTTTTTTTTAATATATAGTATACTTGTCAGCGCATCTAAATCATCCCAACTACCTCATAATTATAATGTAAAGATACGCACCTTTATCTTTTCAAAAATTTAACATTTAAAGTACATTTATTAAAATTACAAACATACGCGTATATTAAATAAGTGCGCGTCGATGCATACACGACAACATAAATGTTCTAATTTTTCTTTAATTTTTTTAAAAAAAAGAAAGAAAGAAAACCGGTTTACGTTTATCTTTACTTTATCAGTTTGGCTTGAAAGGGATGAAAAAGAGGGAAGGAGATAATCCCGGAAGAAGCATTCCATTCATTCAAATATAGTAGTGGTTGTAGTAGAATACAACTAGGAAAGAAGGATTCCTGTGGCAAAGCTAAGTATTTGCAGAACCCTTTTCAGTTAAATTCTACATAATTGCTAATAAATAATACAAGTAAAACATGATTAGCACGCCATCTGTCCCCAAATTCTCCCCTTCTCCTGCTCCTTGTAGTATGATATGATATTATATGTGATGTGGCGTGCGTGGTCCTTGCGGATCAGACCTCCCAAACCAGCACACAAGAATCTCTCATCAGTCATCGCGTCCTACCTTAACGTTCATCACATCGACTCACACAATGACACGTGGTTTGCTGAGCAACCCCCTTTTTGGATGAGAGCTGTTCTTTAGATTCTTCTTCGGAGTTCATTCTCTTTCGTCCGTTTCGAATCCGTCGCGTGGATGCGCCACATAATTTAAGGAAAATTATGATGTACAAAAGCAGAGGTGACGTCTGAAAAATGAGACTGCAAAACTAAAATAAAATAAAAGGTAGAAGAGGATATTTTATAGGGTTCTAATCCCAATCCGCAGCCACAAACGGGATAAGAATTCTCGTTTGTGAATTGGACAGAGGATTATTTATCAAAATTTATTTACTCACATCATCATTATAATTTTTAATATATATTTTTAATTATTTTTTTATTTCACATACATCACGTCACAAACAAAAAGTGTTACAGATCTCAAATAATTTACGATCCAAACAGCCCTCGTTTATTATCTTGGACATTGTTAGGCCTCTCTAATCGGCAACCAAGATGCCATCCCGAAGTAGAGGGCAGACATTTGGTCGATGCTAGTCATTGGTAGGTCTCATTTACCGTTCAAACATTTCGAGAAGTGGTTTCTTTACTAAGTTTTGTGAGTAGAGGGTCCATGGATGGAGATATGAAAAGATGTCACAAATCAATGAGAAGTACTTAATTTAGACTGTAACGGAGAGGAGAAAGGAGGATCAGAACTTCTGGAATTTCTACGGATAAACGTGGCAAATGATGAGATAATTAGATGATTATAAAAACGATTCTGAAATTTCTACGGATAAATGTGGCGTAGAATCTCAGCTTGTGTGATATCATATAAGCAAAAGTCGTTTCTTCAATTAATCCTACGTTCAATTGCACCAGCAACCACTCCGAAACAATAAAAAGAAAATTTGTTTTTCTACCATCACTTTTTTGAGTTGTGAATCAATTGTTCAAACTAGGTTGGATGCGGAGCCTACCACATTTGATGGTCCAAAGCTCTCTTACCCGCAGCATCTCTCATATCTGCTGCTGTCGGATAAGGAACACGGGGCCATGGTCAGTTGTATCGCTCCCTTCAAAAAAATTTTTTCCTTCTGCCTTCAAAAAGGATTTAGGCCAGCTATATGATAGCGGCACGTGGTGCACAGATGCACCCGATTTGTGTTTGTATAATGGAGGATGGGAGTGTTTTTCAAATACAATAAAAATTTTTAAAAACATCTCAAAATATGTTCTAGAAACTCTTCTACTCTTAAATATCCCAAAATATTTTCTAAAAATTCTGCTACAGCAAAATTTTTCAAAAACACCTTCAAAAATAGCTAATCCAAACGGAGCTCTCTGGATGTTTTTCCACGGACTAAGCAAGCTCCACTCATCACTACTCTTTTTGAGTGCTAAATTAGTACACAGTTATCCGACAGACAAAAATAGTTAATCGCCGTAATCTTCTATATATACGAACGGAACAAGCAAAGTACATATGCCCCTTGCCATTTGTGCACAGGCAGACGCGGATGAAACATTAGAAAGCACAAAAGTAGAGAAGGGTACGTTACTAAGTCTGGTCTCTCTTCTAACTAAAAGCAAAAATACTGCTGCTAGTACATTTGATCTCAAAAGCTGCTCAACCATGGGTGGTGCAAATTAACTTGTTGACCTTTTTGGGTCGAATTTGTGTTTGTAACCCAGGCCCAGATTGCTGTCTATTCAAATGCCACCACCACACAGCTACGATCGTGAAATCTCTCCTTGAAAACGACTGGGGGAATCGAGCGGAAGGGTATGGGATTCCACTATTCCAACGACATCCATTCGCCTCGTACCAAGCAATCGACAGGAATCGAGTAGGGGATGCCCTTTTTTTTTTTTTTTAATTTGCCCGCTTGAGATTTGATCCTAACCTGGTTCTGGTGATCTATCTTTTCTTGGGTAGGAGACGGCAACCTTTTGCCATCCCCCCACCCCCACTTGACTTGTCCCTGTTATCGTTCATTCCTTCATGGGATTTTTCTCATTATTTTTTGACAAAGTAATTGCAACCATATAAATAGATGGTTCCTCGTTGTAACAAACATTTGGGCATGCTAACTCGTTTGATCATTCATCTATTGTTTGTGGCGTACCGACTACAAATCTGTGTGTTTCTACGTGCCTCGAATCATTTTTCAATTTACAGTGCATTCCACGTTTTCAGTATATCAACTCGGAAAATCAGATTCCACTAACAAAAATGAATTCTCCAGCAGAAACAGCAGGCTAACTCAGGGAGGAGGAGTTAAGGGGAACATAAAGAGGAAGGTGAAAAACAGGACTATGTGGGAGTTGGGTGACTCTTACGATTTGCAATAACATTGAACAACAGGTCGCTTTTTCTCCTAATCGGCGCTCATTCTTGAGCTGAGTGCCGACAAAACGCTACATTAGTCAAGGAAGATGGGGGGGAAAAGAAAAGTTCGCATTCACTTGCATCTACTCCCTGTTAGTAAATCACTTGAACTCCCAGCGGTGTTGGGCTTCCAAGAAATAACGGAAAGGCAACTCACTGTTCCGGCTTTATGAAATGACCAGTCAGAAGTTTAGGAACCGTGAATCCTTGAAAATTGTCCACATCAAAGAGTTCTTTGAGCTTTTCATCGCATAGTATCCTCCTCCTATCAGATGGATCCTTCAACATCAAGAGAAGTAAAATGAGCATACGAGCAGCCACAAGGATTTGACAACGTTCGAGAGATATTATGGAGAAAAATGTAACACAGAAGTTCAAGTTACAATCTAATTTTCTGAATTAACTGCAAGCAATTACCTGCAGGTTATTTTGCTTAATGTAATCCCAGATTCTTTTCACAACATCAGATCGTGGTAAGGCACTTTCTCCCGTCCCAAGAAACTTGACGAGAGCATCAGAAAGGGGAAGGGGAGCAAGAAAACCTGAAGTCCCACCCTTGTGCCTCTTTTCCTTTCTCTTTGGCTCATCCATTTCTTTGATATAAAACAAGAGGAACAAAAGAAGCCCATCAAGAATTTCATTAGATTTTCGCTGCTTCAACAGGTATCTGATATAATTTATTTGGACAACAGATAAACAGGCAGCGAGGAGGCAATCTTTTAGATCCCAACTGCGCATGACTTCAAAAATCGGAAAATCCACCTTGAAATAAAACTGGTGAAAAATAAACGCGTAACAGAATCCTTTAAACATTTTTGCAGCCATGAGGACATAATACCATCTGATAGATCAATAAACATAACTACCTTCCGCTCTCTCTTGTTTCCGCTGCTTCTCTTTTGGCGTAGATGAGACTGAAGCTGTTTAATTGCAGAAAAACTGTCAAGTAATCAAGACAATGATAATAACATGAAAAGCCAACTAGTGATAGAGAAATCATTAGACAACACTAAAACATAATCTCATGCCAATTAACCACCTAGCTGAAAACTTAAAATAGGTAGCAACGCACCAAAAATTTAACATTACTAACATCAGCTTCGATAATTCCTCAAACACTGAAGAAATGCTCATGAGATAATTGAAGACCCATAGCGCATAAAAACTTAGGTCCCAAAAAACAAAGACCTGCTATATGGATGAAATAGAGGTAACGTAAGAAAGGAACCTTATGTCCCAAGTATGCAATCCAAAGCTTCACTGCATAGACTAGGCCAAATATAAACCCAAGGCAGGTGTAAAATCAATGACAAGATAATTAAGGCAAGTCCGCTCACTTAGAAAAGGCTTGTCGAATTCTTTGATGTTCTTCTATAACTTATGAACTTTAATTGCTTGAATTTGAACTACCCCAGACAATACTTCAACCCTAAATCAACTAATCATTTTGTCAGATGATAAGTGAGTTTCCTCTTCACAATCAATTGTATATCTGCACACAGTAAACTGTAAATGCTCTTGAGATCACAGAATATAAAAGCTTCCAGATGACTCATCCCGAAAATTAGTTATGATATTCTCAATAATCATACGCTTGACCTCCTCATAAAGCTGTATACTGTTCTTCTATGAAATTTTCATCAACACAGCCGAAGGGCCCATGGATGTGCGCAAGCTGCATTAAAGAACAAAGGACTACCAGAACAGCATGAATAGACTTTGGGTAATGCAGTTAATAAAATGAACAAAGCTATTCCTGTTCATAGGAACTCCCTTAACACGATAACTTATTATCCCTCTCAGAGGTCAAGGTCTTCCAGAACTTGTACCCTGAGCCAGATACCAGGAAGGAGCTATACAATCAGATAAACAAAACTGCAATAGTACACAGCTCTAATAGTTCATCACATTTGAAAACTGCTCTTAGCAGACAACAAGTCATATACATAAAATCTTAATGAAATGTTATTCCAATCAGAAATATACAATATGCTTATTCAAGTTACAGCATTTTCCCTGCTTTGATGTATTTCAGCAACCATTAATTGAGACACAGCAAAACAAATTAAAAGGAAAAAAAATGTTATCTTTATCCTCTATTCAAGCAGTGATATCGATATTGTCCAGTATCAAGCAAACTCCAGTCCTTCCTAACTAAAACTCTGAAGTTATATGAGTTTGAATACACAGAGAAACAAACAAATATATCTGACATAAGAAGAGGTAATAGAAAAAATTACCATTGGTTTCTAAAGGCCAGATATGCTGTGCTAAGGCCTTGTTCATTTGGAACATGTTTATACTATCCACACCAAAAAGGTCCCTCAGGGTACCATCACATAATATGTTCCGCCTATTGCTTGGGTCTTGTAAATTATTTTCCCGAATATAGCTCCAAAGTTGCTTCACAACCTAAACTCCTCACAGTTTGGAAAAAGATCATTAATTTGAATTGTCAGTCACATTAAAAGTAAACTAATGTATAATGAAGAGGAATATCTGCAAAATACATTATACCTCAGTTCTAGCTAATTCAGGTACGCCAGTGAACTTTTGAAGTTGAGGAGAAAGGCTACAGAGCTTGGTAAATCCACCACCTCTTCTCTTAACCTCTTTATTCTTCTTTTTTAACCTATCCAAATACATAGCATCTACATGTTTTAGTAATGAACAAACTAAAACCTTTACTGACATAATTACTCATCTTCAAGTAGAATTGAATATGTGGACTAGAATCACTAATATTTTTCACATTCTTTAAAGTATCTCAGTCTGTTTCCAGGTCCAGCAGATGTCAGATTGGGGGAAAGGGAATTAAGGAGAAAAGAAAGGTGGTAAAAAACCCATTCTCTCTTTTGAAGCAGTAAAATTCTTAGTTACATTCAGCACCGCCATTTTAACAACATTATCAAAACAAAAAAAAAAAAAAAAGAAGAGCAATTTCACTAAAATCTCAAATAATGCACTCTGAACATGCAACATGAATGAAGGAGCACAAATACTAACCTTCATAAACTAAGCCTAATGCTGGAACAACATATCTGCTATTCATTAACCAATGACAGCTAAAATGGAGAAGCCATCCTATCAACTTAAAACAAGAAAGGGAAATGCCTCAGCATATCCCTTTGCCTAAATCAGCAATCCACGACAAAGGAGCTTGATGTGAAAAGAACGTACAAAAGCCTCTCCCATAGTCCGTCTAACCATCGTTAAGAAGAGAAAGGAGAGCAACAACAGGATTTGCATTCTGCATTTGAACAGTTTTTCTGCCAAAGATATGGTAACACCATCAACTACTTAGTGAGTGCCATTGCAATTTTGCAAACCACATTGGCCTTATTCACGCTTGCAAGCAAAATTAAAACGAGAATTGGTATCGCGCAAGGGGACTAGCCTTGTTTGCCAGTAATTCATACTTTGTGGTTAATACGGTGACAGAACTACGAAAATGACCAAAATAATTATTCAGCGAGGACAAGCTAAGCTGTTAAAACAAAACCTCCTAAGCAGTAGAACCATTTCTGGGCAGCATCCATCCATACGCTTAACCCTGATTCAACACATTGTACAAGAAACGACTATAAAATCCCTCGTTGCCAGGTTCCACTCAAACTCATCAGCTACGCAACCGATTCTCTTTCTCCAAATCAAATTTACCAAAAATTTCCCATAAAAATTACTACAGGACAAGAAGGAAAAAAAATCATAAAAGCAGCTTCTTTTAAAAGTACAAAACTTTCCTCAAACACGAAAGAAGAAAGCATCGAACTTCAAAAACATAAATAGAGTCAAACACTATTTATGCAGCTATGCATGCTCATACAAGATTAAAAATCCCAAATCATTTTCCCACCTGAAATAATACCAGCTACTGCATTTCTGGGCTCATAAATATTTCTGCCAACAAAATAAAACTTACCCTTTCTTAGAAGTTGGCTTTCCATTACTGGGTTCCTCTGATTCCTCCTCCTCGTCTTCTTCTTCTTCTTCTTCTTCTTCAGCGTCGATCACGGCGGGAACCTGGGCCTGGGCATCTCCATTCTCCTCTTTATATTCCTCAGCTTGTTCTTGAAACTGAGTTTGAAGGTAAATATCAACTTGTTCTCTAATAAAGGCTTTTCTATCCGACAAATCGATTCCGAAATCTTCTTCGAGTTTCCGGCGAACAATTGCGGTCGTCGTCGTGTTTAGGTCCGACGTGCTAAGAAACTCCCTCAGTCGGTCCACTAGCTCCGTCTCCGTTACCATTTCCGCTTACTTTCGTCTTTGAAAAATATCGGTTTTTTTCCTAAAAGTCGAGTCTGCGATGTACTACTAAATTGTTACTCGAAATGACTGTTTAGGGTTTGGGTGGATGACAATTCCAGGTGAAAATTTTGACGGAGCCAAGGGCAAGCTTGGCAATTCGGGTGTTGCCCTTTACGGTGTGTAAGTCCCACGAAACGGTAAAAGGAAGGCCACCCCCCCCCCGGCCCCCGACCCCGTTTAGCAAGTCCGCGTGCCTTTTGAGGTGTTAGCGTCAATTTGACATATGTACCCTTGCATTTCCCCAGTAATCACGAATTACAGGTGACGGCAGGGATGAGTCTCGTGTTGTCGTTTATACATTTGCTCGCTGAAGCGTTACGCTTTCATGTGCTTGAAAACGACTTTATGGGTTGGTATACGCTTTATGGGCCATCCGTTCGTGCTCAACTATGCAAATTTTGGTAGTTTGTTTTGATACTCGTAGACGGCCGTGGTTGGTTTACACTCCTGCGTAGCATGGTTAGCTCGTTTGAATTGCCATTTTCAGAAGTTTTTGGTTAAAAAAATGTATTATTGTGATATATATATAAAATAAAAGAATAAAAAAAATTATTCATAAAAAATATAAAAAAATTTCTGCAAAAAAATTATATTCCAAACAAGGCCACCGTGCTAGTTTATTTCATAGTTACTTCTAATTGACTCTATGGGTTGGATATGTGTGGCCGTGTAGTTACTACTTACTAGTTCGTTGAATCACCGGCCTATTCCTTAAATGTTCAGCGCCTATAGACAGCCGACATGGGCTAAGTGATGTATATGGTGTTAGGGTTGCAAACGAATCGAATTGAATCGATCTTTAACATAATCGAGTCGAGTCTTAATTTAGTTTTATCGAACTCGCGCAACTGATGATTTTGAATATGGGGCTAGTGTCAATCCACTCATATATTAAATGAGCAAACTCTTGAACTAACACTAAAATGACAAATAAAAAGATGTCAAGGTTGGCATTTTGTTTTCCTATATAGACAGATATTTTTGCTGTTTTTTTTTTTTAAATAAAAATTTCGCTTTAGTTGTTTCTTTTCTTCGGGAAGAGGCTTCTTTCGACTGTCATAGGTTTCCTTCTCAGACATAATGGTGCAGGCTTCTATTTTATCTTTTAACCAAGAACTCCTAAGTTTAGGACGGGAATATACAAAGCTCGCCATTGAAAGCTAAATTAACATAGTTATAAAAAATGACCAACGGAAGGTCAAAAAAGTTCAGCATTCAAAAAATTCACAAGGCCGAAATCCAGAGCCTGGATTACAACCGTGTCCTGTCCTCATGCTATAGTTAAGACACCCGCTATACACAGGGCGAAAGATTAAAGGCTTGACTGATCAATCGGCGATGGCAAGGTTTCTTCTTTTCTTTTCTTTTCTTTTGCTTAATAGTACTATCGATTGCAGAAGCAAAGAGGAGCGTAATTTTATAATCCTTCCTTTTAGTTGCTGTTTGTTCTGGGAGTTTCTCTTATTCCGTCAACTGAACAAGTTAGGTAAGGACCTCCAAGAAATAAATTACTATGAGGTTATGAAGGCAAAGCTAATAAATCCTTGAAGTAAAAGTCATTTAACGCTTTGAATTCGAATCCACTGTCTGCGATGGAATATATTTCGTTTCAGAATTCATTATTTTATTCGGTCGAAATACAGAAATTATACGTCCCCGCCACCCCCTACCCGCATTTTTTTTTTTTTTTTTTAATAATAAGGTCCCCTTCTTTGTGCATATGGACCAGACACCGGATGATGCCACCATGCTTTGTCTTACTATTATTATTATTATTGAATTGTAGATTATTTGCTCACACCATTAACATATTTTTTAATTAATTTTTTATTTCACATATATCATATAAAAAAGTGTTATAATATTTTTTTTTTCAAAAGAGTATCCCAAATAATATAAAACTCCACATAACTTGGCAGTGTGTGTTAATTTTTTGGTGTAAAACGTAATTGGTTCAAATCTTATCTTCCATACTTATTTCTGCTCAGAGGAGCACTCCATTTTCTTGACAAATAAAACTGAAAATACATTTCTTTTAGTAAAAATAGCCCGCTAAACTTTGTCATGAGACAAGTTTCGTCGTTTGGAACGTTTCGATATATTTGAGGTGAAGCATCACTTCTCTTTTGTATGTTTATAAATTATAACATTAATTAGACACGCGTAAAAAAAAATACTCTATCCTTGTAATGAAAAATCTATGAGACTTAATATGGGATATCTTTATACAGAATTGCGTGACCATCCTATTGAAGTTCTTTGTGAACTTCAACCCAAGGCCGATGGGAAAAATTAACAAAAAGGAAAAAACGAAAAGCAAGACGAGGAAAGCAACTTTGGAGATCGGTCCCCTAGTATATTACATTGGTTCCACAGTTTTATAAGGGTTTCGTGGTATGAAGAAACAACATCTGTTGTGCTTACTTTGTACGACTATCTTTTATGTTGAAAGGCATGAGAATGTTTACACATATCATTAAATGAAGAAAATGTACGCGATCAAAGACATTTTATGAACACTTTTACTATATTTTTGTACTCCACTATCACTCTTTGGCATTGTTAATCCTTACAATTAACTTGCCAGATCACTGGTCCTATTCCCGATATGGTGGATAAAGTCATTTCATTTTGCTTAAAGTTGGTTGGTCATCAAATGATGTTCATGTACGTGTTCGATTGTAAGTCAGAAATTTAAATCTCTGCATTACATTTGCAGTGAAAATTCAAAAAGTATATCATACAGTAATGCATTCTTTTGACCTGGAAGTGGGAATCTCCCCCTATAATCCACCTTAGCCTTCCTCTAAGATTGGTCAAGTTAGAAAAGGAGTAGCAATAGGAGTTGACACTTGATTTAACAGAAACCAAAAAAATAGAGGGTCATTTCATTTTTGCAAGTATGGCACACAACTGGCTCTGAAATTTATCCATAACGGGGGGATACATTCGTCATTTCATTGATACCCTATCCATTTACTGTTTTTTGTTAAAAAAAAAACACACACACACACACACACACGCACGCACGCACAGAGAGAGGCGCAAATTTCAACGAAAAACGAAAACTAACAGAAGGGACCACTACTGAGTTGCGAGGACGAAGCGGGCATATTCTTGAAAAAAAAGAAAAGGACGATGGAGATCAATAACGACAAAAGAAGCCATAAAACGCCGTCGTCTCAGGGTGGGAGCGACCGAAAAGCACCAAAACGTCACCGTCTGCTTTTGTCGTTCCCACATCCTCCAGGTATATCCTCGCCCTCGCGCCCCACTGCTAATGTTGCCTTGTCACCATCATGCACCTACACACCATTTTTAGATATTTGTTTATTTTATTGAAGACAAAAACAAATATCTTCCTTCTTTCCTTCCACCACTTGATGGTTCATAGAGTATTTTTTAAGAGCAATTTACGAAACTGACCTCCCCTGCGACGCCCCTTATCCGCTGCGCCTGAAGCCTGAAACTGACATTTCGCACGCCCCTCACCCATCTCCTCCCCAAAGCAAAGCCAGCGATTGGATTTCAGAAATTTGAGAGTCAACACTGGCTACTACTGCAGCTGGTATTCAGCCTTCCCTTCCCTAGCCTACCGCCCGGAGTGGAAAACGTCGACGCTTCTCTGCGACTGATGTTGTCTAATGTAAAGAATTATTGATGCGTAAAATGGATCGGGCAGCGGTAACAGTGGGTCCGGCTATGGATATGCCGATCATGCACGACAGTGACCGGTACGATTTGGTCAGGGATATCGGTTCCGGTAATTTTGGCATCGCCAGACTTATGAGAGACAAGCAGACCAAAGAGCTGGTCGCAGTTAAGTATATCGAACGGGGCGACAAGGTTAGCTTCCGAATTTCGTCTTTGAAGCCGAAATCGGTGTTTTCTATGGCCTTGGTGCTAAAATTTGAGCAACCACCTTATTGATACTCTTTTTGCTGGGTGCAAATTCGGAAGCATCTTTCTTCTTTTTTGCCTTAAATAACCGAACTGGCCTTGGTTACTTTGTTTCAGGATAACTTTATTTTGGTTATTTCTGGAAATATTTATGTCTCAGGAGCATTTCTCACTTTGGGCCTTTCCTTTGTTCTTTTTCTTTTTCCTTTTTTTTTTTTAAAAAATTTTTTTTTTTGGAAACTTCAATTACTAACTAAGTGACTATATTGCTCACACAGGAGGATAGTAATAGTATGAGGATAAAATGCCCGTTCTCTGAGTTTTTGTGCTGCATATTTTCTGCTGGGCAAAGTCAATTCAATAATGTGATTGGTCCTCAAACTGATGGTTAAAAGCTTGTGTAGCATATTTTCTCCACATTTATAGCAAGAAAGGAAACAAAAAGAAAAAGAAAAATTGATTTCGCAAAATATTTGAGTGAAAAAGATTATGTTTACTGGAGTAATATGACCTGTTTTGGTAATTGGCCCTATATGATGTGGCTGGTCGAGAATCCCTATGGTTTCAAGCTGTGGAAGGAAAGAGAGGTGCTCGGAGACCTGAATTGTTATGACAGAGATTTGGGTGATCTTTTCAGTGCCCTTCTCTCATGTATGAAATATCTGTGGACAGGGTCTATCAGAATTAGGATTTTCACCCTACAAGCAGCACTTCAGCTGAATCAGCTCAACTTAATAGTAGTCTTACTCCATTCTAACTTTAGCAATTAGTTCATCTCTGGTCTCTATATTTCTCCTGCCTTGCTTTCAATCTTTACCTTCTGAATCCTAGTATTTGAGGCGCTTAAGCATTTTAGCCATGTTCTATCTTACTATGCGATTAAGTAGATGTAATGTAATGCTCTATTGGAGTTTTGTGTGAGATGGTAGAAAAACTATTCTTTGTTCGTGCAACTTGATTTTTGAAGCTCTACTGGATCGTGCATTAACACTTGATTCCACTTGCACTGCTGAGGCTGGGATTTCTATCCCTGGTTGGTACTGTCATATTTCTGCTGTTTAAACATTCGAGTTGCAATTGAGCCATCAAT